TTATGCCTTGGTACGGTTTTGTAACAAACGAGATCGAGCGCATATCCCTCAAACCACACAAACCACTCTAGGCTTCATGACCAAAAAGGAATACGACTCTACGTACCTAGTCTACTCAGTCACTATTCTGTTCCTCTGGTCATTCTACTAATACATATTCAACGATAACTCGATGCATCTGTCATAACGCAGACGACAACGTTCACTGACTTCATATTTTATGATTATTATCAATTGCAGTACAGCAACGAATATCACCCGTCGATGCAGTTATCGTTCCACGACTTGCCTATTATCATCTTACGCATTTAAATTCGAATTCACTCATTGCTAGTCAATGCTATTTATTCTGCTGCGGCTCAACAGAACATATATTTAATGTATTTCACTATTTTGTCAGCATCACAGACCAATTTCTGTCATATTCTACTGTACTCATTTTGACGATTTATTTCCCTGTCATACCCACAAACAATTTATTATTATTTTCACGATAATTTGAATCGCTCATATAAACGTGTTATTTTATCGTTCAGACAGTCATAGCATTAGTACATGTAAATTTTTGTACGCTCATTAATTTACTTATATTCGCACGTTAACGTTTCCATTTTTGTCCGCGCCTTTTCTATATTCATGTATTCTTTTACCTAAGTATGACATTTTCATATAATACACTCATCCCTCATGTGACCCTGTACTTTATCGAGTGTTGTACAATTTTTTGGCTGCTTATTGTTAACGTTAGCTTCATATCACTTCAGTGTTATTTTCGAAAACAGACATTTTTTAAATGTGCTATTTTCTACGAGGGGGCTATGTAGTGTTAGTCATTAATTTTAGCCCATAATATATCTTATTCTAGTTTCCGGACATTCCATTCTACTCATTCTACTTGAGTCATGTTTTGACCTTGTTAATTATTCGCTTGTTAGCCTTGACTGTATTCATGTGAGCGTATATGTATGTACACTTGATGTCCCATGACTCATCACATGTCTGTAGTTCATTTTGTCTGCCTATAAATATTGAGTAATGTTCGGCTTGAATTGGAGTTGGCTTCCCAGCCATCTTCCCTGCGCGTCATTTTGCTCTGTTCTATTGTATTCACTTTGCATACAAAATATATGTATTCAAAGGTCATTCTCGTTAATTGACTTATCTAAATTCCGTTATTGACTAACGTGAATTAAGTCGACTATGATATACGAGAGTCAGCGAATACAATCATTCATACGCTCTAAAATGGAGTCAGATCAATGGGTCACAAAAGTGATGAGCCCGCCGACGACGAACGCAACGCAGCCCGCTACGTCGATGAAGGCACTTCTACACTCTATACGTTCGACGAACATATTCAGCGAAGCCAGCGCAATCTCCAATCCGACGCAATCAGCACAGCCTGTGCAACATGACATGGACATGCTCAAGTCGTATTATCTTATCGATACTTTGTTCTCATGTCGACCATTCTCATTGATCCATTCGTCGGTTTGTTCCATTACGATTCAAATTATCATTATATGCTTATTATTACATTATTATCGATATCATGACCGAATGTGGAATTATTAATCTTGTTCGTGCTGTCATTAAATCATGACATTTTCGCAATCATATTACTCACCGAACAAATTATTATTTTATGAAAATTCCACTCCATGTAATGACATTCAGAACTCATTGGAATATTTCTATTCAAAAACGTGAAATTTTCCTGCTTTAAGTGAGTTCGTTCCAATTTTTCATGTCATTTTGATCTAATATTACATTCATTCACTTAGTCGAGGTCCGCAATTTATGTTATCACAACATACATTTTTCATTTCGAAATCGCCTCCTATTATGTCTGTGGATGCTTCTGACTAGCTGATTAGTAACCATTACGCTCATTTTATCTATTCTTCCACGTGCGTAACTACATGCTGCATCACTTATCACTCAAAAACGCTATTCGAGTACTGCAACTACTATTCTATTCCCATCGCACTGCATATCAGAACATAGAGTTTAGAGCTAGCCTCTCAAAGATACACTCTTGTTCGTTACATCCAAGTCAGTCTCATACGTCGCCATCGCTAATCATATGTATTAGTATTTCTGTTATGCCTTGGTACGGTTTTGTAACAAACGAGATCGAGCGCATATCCCTCAAACCACACAAACCACTCTAGGCTTCATGACCAAAAAGGAATACGACTCTACGTACCTAGTCTACTCAGTCACTATTCTGTTCCTCTGGTCATTCTACTAATACATATTCAACGATAACTCGATGCATCTGTCATAACGCAGACGACAACGTTCACTGACTTCATATTTTATGATTATTATCAATTGCAGTACAGCAACGAATATCACCCGTCGATGCAGTTATCGTTCCACGACTTGCCTATTATCATCTTACGCATTTAAATTCGAATTCACTCATTGCTAGTCAATGCTATTTATTCTGCTGCGGCTCAACAGAACATATATTTAATGTATTTCACTATTTTGTCAGCATCACAGACCAATTTCTGTCATATTCTACTGTACTCATTTTGACGATTTATTTCCCTGTCATACCCACAAACAATTTATTATTATTTTCACGATAATTTGAATCGCTCATATAAACGTGTTATTTTATCGTTCAGACAGTCATAGCATTAGTACATGTAAATTTTTGTACGCTCATTAATTTACTTATATTCGCACGTTAACGTTTCCATTTTTGTCCGCGCCTTTTCTATATTCATGTATTCTTTTACCTAAGTATGACATTTTCATATAATACACTCATCCCTCATGTGACCCTGTACTTTATCGAGTGTTGTACAATTTTTTGGCTGCTTATTGTTAACGTTAGCTTCATATCACTTCAGTGTTATTTTCGAAAACAGACATTTTTTAAATGTGCTATTTTCTACGAGGGGGCTATGTAGTGTTAGTCATTAATTTTAGCCCATAATATATCTTATTCTAGTTTCCGGACATTCCATTCTACTCATTCTACTTGAGTCATGTTTTGACCTTGTTAATTATTCGCTTGTTAGCCTTGACTGTATTCATGTGAGCGTATATGTATGTACACTTGATGTCCCATGACTCATCACATGTCTGTAGTTCATTTTGTCTGCCTATAAATATTGAGTAATGTTCGGCTTGAATTGGAGTTGGCTTCCCAGCCATCTTCCCTGCGCGTCATTTTGCTCTGTTCTATTGTATTCACTTTGCATACAAAATATATGTATTCAAAGGTCATTCTCGTTAATTGACTTATCTAAATTCCGTTATTGACTAACGTGAATTAAGTCGACTATGATATACGAGAGTCAGCGAATACAATCATTCATACGCTCTAAAATGGAGTCAGATCAATGGGTCACACTACCTCCAATTCGTCTCTTTTATTCATTAAGTCTTATAGCTACTGTTGGTTATAATTGATTTAAAAAGTGTGGACAATTCAAATGACCCTGAATAGAGTATCGAACGATTACAAACATAAAATAAGTGCATCAGGTAAAAAATGGTATGAATATTTTTTGGCAATCAGATTTTTTTTGATTGAGATCATAAACCGATTGGTTTTGGACCACCGCTGGAAAACTGGAAGTACCGGACGGCCGTTTTGTCTTATTGTGAGACTCCTCTGTTGCACTGAGCATCCATGATCTCACTCGCGGGATTCGAACCCAGGACGTTCAGTCTCGCTTGTGAACGCTTAACCTGTCGACCACTGAGCTGGCCGGTATTCAATGGTGTTAGTGTCTAGCATCAACCAATCCACGAAATTACGCGACCAACTTCCACTATACTGAGGTAGATACCTGTCTCTATCCGACACGGACTAGCTCCACTGGTCATGGCTAGTCACTAGAGCTCCGAGAATTCCCTCATGAAGCTAGTCGCCAATGAGCACATGTTAATTATCAGTATAGGAGTTGTGGAGATTATCAAGGTTTTTTTATTGAGATCATGAACCGAGCGAGCGGGATCGTGGACGCGCACTGATGAGAAGTCGCACAATAGAACGAAACGGCCGTCCAGTGCTTCTAGGTTTCCAACGGTGGTCTCACATTAATCGGTTGATGATCTCAATCAAAAAAGCTAGTAATCTCCACAACCTCTATACTGATAACACCTATTTTGTATTAAACTTGTAACGAACTGTCATGTTGTCAACTGTCAACATATGTAAAGTCTTTATAAACAAAGTATCTTGATGTTATTTTCTGCATGTGTTGTGACGTACAGTGTCCGAAATCCGATACTGATACACATTGTGCTACATGCTAACCCTCTCTCCCACCTAAGACACCATTTGGGCAAGAGTGAACAAGAAAGTGTATTAAGCTACCAAATAAAATGCAAAAATACTCATTTATATGTCTATCATTCTAATCCTTAAGAAACTGAATCCTTTCTTATCGTTTAGTTGACTTCTGTTTATTATCGATTGACCTTCTCATTATTGATTCTTTATATCACCATGGAAATTATTTATTTATCATTAAATTATTAATATAGAATCTTCAATACGAACGTCAAGGCAGTTCTACTGTATGGAGCTGAAACTTGGAGAACTACAACAACCACAATCAAGAAAGTATAAGTATTTATAAATAGCTGTCTACGCAAGATACTCAACATCCATTGGCCGGATACCATCAGCAATAGCCTTTTGTGGAAGAGAACAAACCAACTTCCAGCTGAAGAAGAAATTAAGAAAAGACGATGGAAATGGATAGGACATACATTACGCAAATCATCAAACTGCATCACGAGGCAAGCCCTAACTTGAACTCCTAAAGGGAAGCGGAAAAGAGGAAGGCCAAAGAACACATTACGTCGGATAATAGAAGCAGATATGAAAAGGATGAATTACAACTGGACGGAGCTAGAAAGGATTGCCCAGGATAGGGTTGGATGGAGAATGCTGGTGAGCGGCCTATGCTCCTTCACGAGAAGTAACAGGCGTAAGTTAAGTAAGTATTAATATAGAATGAACTTACAGCAATTTGAAGTGCAATTTGATTCATCCATGGTATATATAAATACATTTGATACCAACGTGATATTATACCAGATACAAAAAATCCCAATAAAAATGATATAGGTATATCACCTTTAGTTCGAACACAGAATTCAACAATTTCTTCAAAAATTCTATAAAAATAGATTAATAATAAATAAGAAAGATGATTTAATTGTTAAGTATGTGATAACATGTTAACTATGGATAAGACTATCATTTATGGATGAGTTTCGAGTGATTGAAAAGTGACCTTGACGATGTTCATCTACTTGTTAGGGTTATATTGTGAACAGGGAAACAAGAAGATCTGATAAACTACGAAAGTTATTTTTGCAAGACGTTACTTCAGTTAATTCAAAGCTTGTAAAATACTGACATTTAATTTTGTCCCTAATCTATTCTACAGAACATAAGCTTTCGTTCGATGTATGATTCATTGCCATAGCCCTTTTCTGTTCCGAAGCTATTGTAATTTAAACATCATATTTTGCACCCTATTTTCTCCTCTAATTCCCAGCTTTAGACATAATTGTATTTTTCCTAATTATTGTACGTTGTGGTCGGGTTATTCACCTATTTATTCATGTACCTTTTTACAGTAATCTGAAATCAGAAGAGGAATCAGAGAAAATCAGGATGTCAGAAATAGATCGAGTAGTGTTCCAGTTGTCTTGTCTTCTCTCATTCGCGTGCTTGTCAGTCAATCAGATGATAGAATAGTTTTCTTCTCTCTACTCTAATTCGAACTCACGCGTACTGGCCTCAAGGTTAGGTCAGTCAGCCTATCGCGCCAAGGTCTTAATCCTCAGCACCAAAAGTGGGTAGACAAACCAAAGGACATAACAGATTATTTGAACATTATATATGAGTGTGAGGAATTAGGATCAGGATCTACAGTTTGATGCTGTGGTTAAGAATCAGTTATAGTTCTCATCACGAACTGACAAAATGATATTCAACCAAATGAGTAAATGGATTTCATACCGAAATTCAAGATCTGCTATCTTAAATCTGATTGGTTCGTTCATAAATTGTAGTCTCGTCAAGTGTCTCAAAGATTTGTTCATCAAAAAGATAAAAAAATATTGCTGTAAAACTGAAATAGATTCCTTGATCTAATTTAATTTTAAATTGTATTGTAATATGTTCAAAATACGGTCAGTTAATAAGACAAATAAGAGATGCTTCTTTTCAAATGAACATAAAATATAAGCAGCAAACCCAAGGTCCGAAGGTGAAGTCGTATTGCTGACTGTACAGAGGTGTGACGGCAGTAAGGTGTTTCCTTCAGACAACCAACATGACAGCGATGCTGCCTTCTCACAAGGAGGAGTGGGTTTAGAAAAGATCGACCATAAAAATGCAAACCTCGCCTTATCCCACAGAAATCCGTCTCCAGCAGTAAGGTCTCAACAAGTACGGAGCTAACATGAAAATTACTCACAAGAAGGTTGTGTGTGACCGACACCAGACAGTTATCGTTTTGGTACTGAATTCACTCTCTCAGGTCATTAAGACCACTTTTAGTCCAATTTTCTGTTCAATGTATAATTCATCACAATCGATACAACCTAATCTGTAGACATAATTTTGTGCGAAACTGAAACCTAGGTCCAGGGTTTCCCGTTGACTACCTCCAACCACCATCACATTTTAATATAGTGCATATAATGTCGAGTCACCTAGATTGATGGTCACTCTACAACTTGGTTGGCATGATTCAGCTGGTTACTTTCTTTGGGCTATTTTAACTCAATCTAATATAAATTTGTTCCAAAATGATTTGTTAGTTAATAACTCCATTAACATTACGAGTGACTTGTCATAAACAACATTGGATGATTGTCATTGTATACAACAGGTTGACAAAAGTTGGAGAACTTACTCTAAATTGCTGTCTGTGAGATCGGTGTATTACAGTATTTTTTAAAAGTACCCGATGTTTTATTGTCTCATCTAGGGAATTAACTGAACTAAATTTTAATGATATTGCTTTTAATAAAATCGACTCCCGCACTTCGCATATGGATGGATTAACAGTACAGTGAAATAATAGATTATCAGTAGTAACAGTGTACACAGCTTATCTTGGACATGAATTCGACTGAAGGAATGTCAACATTCTGTATAAGAGATACTATAAGAATGTCAGATAATGTTTAGGAACATGTCACCTGAATCATTTAGTTACCAACAGGTACACAGACTTAGGCTCAATCCGTGGACCCATAGGTAAGAGGTTAATAAATGGCAGGGTCAAAGATCGACCAACAGAGATAAACAATGTGAATGTAAGTACAAACGAAGCGCTAACACGACACTGTATGCAGAGATCGAACCATTGAGGGTGTGTGGTCTAAATGAGATGCGATTCTAAATTCAACTAATTCACAGTAATGTGCAACCATTTTTCGTTGCTTCCGGTGAATAACTATCTCCCATAAGATATGTTTATGCTTTACTGGTCACAGCTACTCATTAGAACTCACGAAATTTTCTCTTTAAGCTAGTCACTAGTTAGCACACGATAATTATCAATGTGAGATTTGGGAAAATTTAAGAGTTAAACTTGTACACCACTGAATCCTGTTTTAGTGTTCGCACATAAAAGCAAATGCCTTGGGTTCGAGTCCTTCTATGGGGTCGTGGATGGTCACTAAAAATCTTCGTTCTAAACGATGAAGACGCTGGAAAAAGTTTGTCCATAATGACAACACGGGATGTACAATTAAATCATCTAGTTCAGAGAACATATCACTACCTAAAACATTCACATGAATTGTAAATGTTTTCCACCATTTCAAAATCTAAAGTACACTAATCGATCGATTAACCTCTTTCCTAAAAAACTACATTCTTTTTTCATATTTTAACAATACTACTTACAATGGTCGATATCATGAGTTAATTGAAGCTAAATCACCATGGAAAACCTGGAAGCACTGGACGGCTGTTTCGTCCTATTATGGAATTCTTCAGCAGTGCGCATCCACGATCCCATCTCGCATGATTCGAACTCAGGACTTAACAGTCTCACACTCGAATGTTTAACCTCTAGTTCCTTTGATGATTTTCATTATAATTATGAGTTGATATAATAATAATAATAATAATAATAATAATAATAATGATACTTACACTTTTTGCTTGTCATTCATTGCAAACCGATAAGATAGATTTAAAACATAATAAGCTGAGATGTAGATTAATAAGTCGACCCATACCAATTTGTACAAACTTCCTTTCCATCTGAAATGATTAATTAATGTGAAAAGTGTTATTTTAGTATATAAAATATGAACAAATTGTTTATTTGAACTTAAAGGTTAGTGAGACCACAGGATTCAACCCTTCATTTATAGACAGTATAAGTAAATTAATTGTATTCCGACTAACTGGATGACAGTTGACAGTGTCGTATTACCTAGTCTATAAAGCTAACCGGCTAGGATTTAATTTAGATCAATAGTCCTATCAACTTGAATATATGTTACTCTGAACCTAATGTTATCCGACTAAAAGACACTCATCTGATTACCTCCAAATGCCCTGGTACGGCCGAGAGTGGGGAGAGTCCGCTCTCCCTCACAAAATGCTCTCTCATGGCCACGCGTATATAGCCTCTGTCAAGGAAGTCCTACGTATTGCCTCTTCGTTGACGGGGTGTTGTTTACGAAAATGCGAGGAAGAAAAGCGAATGTCTGGCTCTTTAACCGGGTTGGTGGACACGGAGGGTTCACCTGGGGAAGTTGGAAAACTCTCATTCCAAACCAATGGTGCACATGGGCTCCAGTATCTTGATGGAACAAACGGCTTATGAACCAATTGTTGTTCACTAGCTGCAATGGGACTGCATCTCCTTACGTTGCTCCACTGCCTTGTGGATTAGACCCTTAGGTCGAAGTCTCGGAGAGTGACCCTCTAAGACAACCACCTGCTTCGGTTTGGGCAGCCGAGCAGTATCACAGCTCTCACACATATCGAATGAGTTTTGTGTGACGCACATGTATTTGGTACCTTCTTGTACCAATATCTATGTGTTAAAATAAATAAATAAATAACACTCATCTGATTATTTCGATGGTATTGTTTCTTGGTTGTAGTATTGATTTAGTGGGTCGAAATCTTTGAAAGTATTTTAACTTTGATGCAAATCTTCTTAGTTATATAAGCGATCTATATCAACAATATTGAATCTAACCTTACAACTAATAACCTAGTGATTATTCAGTGATGCTTAAACTACTTCGAAAGCACTTGTGGTCAAAAATCAACTGACATAAGAGTAGGTAGGAAAAAAGTTAGGGTGAGGCAAACCAAGAAGTAGGATCAGTCCATGAACACACTGATTATTGAACTGAGCCATGTAGGTACGTGCACACCACACAGTCAGGGTCTGTGTGATTATTGTAACCAGTGGCAGGAGTTTTATTGTTCATAATTGTTTGCGATAGGGTAGGTGTATTTACGCTTTGTCTTCATCTAGATCCTAATTTTCTAAATTCTTCATAAATCTTTTGTTATTTCACTAGTTTATACTTTCATGAATCGTATCTTCGACGCCTAATATCTTCTGTTACCATTAGTGCTGTTACTAATTATACTACTCTGGGATTCGCTAATAGGATGTACACATGCGCTTAGTTCTCTATTGTATTTCAGTGTTATCAATCCCTGTAGATCATATATGTAACGTTCGCTACTTGATTAACGTAGAATATAATATACAACTAACGGCAGTCGAATGCATAGAACTCTACAGTCACAAAATCAGAAGACAGAAGAAGTCAGAAGTTATTGTTGAGTGAGAATAAAAAATATACAGAAAATCATGAGTATTAATAGACAATAGCTTTAACTATAACATCATTATAATCCAGTCACTCCACAAGGAGACAAGTTAGGCTACCTTCTAATCATAGCATGTCACGTTGATATTCTAGAAAATTGTATCCGGTTCTGATTGAGTGTAAACTCTTAGGTTCCTCTAGGATCTCTGAAGGCTCCGTGATGCTTCTCGAAGCCATCTCAACAATATTTAACTGTCAAAGATGTTAGAGAAGATTGTGTTTCGTTTACACTTAAAAATTCACTATGACTTTTGCTCGAAGTATTTTACTAGTTTAGTCAATTTATTATTTATTTATTTAAACACATAAACATTGGTACAACGAGGCACCAACTATATATGCTCCACATAAATTATTCGATTTGTGTGGGGGCTGGGATACTGTCCGGGTGTCCAAACTGAAGCTGGTGGTTTTTTAGGGCGCCACACCCTGAGCCTTTGACCTAAAGGTCTGATTCACAAGACAGTGGAGCAATTGTAGTCGGTCACCAATAGTTTGTTCATACACCAGTCGTTCCTTCACGATACTGGAGCACATGTGCACAATTGGTTTGGAGTCAGTGTTTCCCAACTCCCCCAAGGTGAACTCTCCGTGTTCACCAACTCGGTTAAAGCGTCGAGCATTTTCTCTCAATTTCGTAAACAACAGTAATGCCACGAGAAGGCAGTGAGTCGGACTTCTCTAGAAATACTTGTATGCACGTGTCCATGTGAGAGAATTTAGAGAAGGAGAGCTGACTCTCTCCACCCTCGGCCGTATCAGGACATTTGAGGACACTACTAAAGAGTACTTTAAATCAATACACTTGAAAATTTATCAGTTATTGAGATAAATGAACCACATATGTATAAGTAATTCATTTATGCTGTCATGTAAATAAACTGCCTACACTAATAAATAAGTATACTCATACATAATAACAGTCTGTGTATGTGTATGAACTTGAATTTAATGGTAGAATCGATGAACTAAATACGAAAAAAATTTGAATCGATTAACTTTAATGCTACAAAGATGAACTGACAACATAGAGATTCTGATGATCATCAAGATGACAACTTCATACATTGTCTCTCGAAATGCTCTCTCATGGCCACGCGTATATAGCCTCTGTCAGGGAAGTCCTACTCATTGCCTTCTCGTAGTGAGGGTGTTGTTTACGAAGTTGACAGGACGAAGAGCGAATATCCGGATACTTAATCAGGTTGGTGGACATAGAGAGCCTATCTAGGGGAGTTGAAAAACCCTGATTCCAAACCAATCGTATACATGGGTTCCAGGATCTTGAAGGAAAAAATGGAGTATGAACCAATTATTGATGATCGTCTACAATGGGACTGAATCTTTTTACGTTGCTCCACTGTCTTGTGAATCAGATCTTTAGGTCGGAGACTCCGGGTGTGGCCCCCTATGAAAACCACCTGCCTCGGTATGGGCACCCGGGCAGTATCACAGCCCTCACACATATCGAATGAGTTTTGTGTGGTGCATATGTATTTGGTGCCTCGTTGTACCAATATCTATATGTTGACATAAATAAATAAAATAATAGTGAGCAAACAGCTCAGCCTTCAAATTATCCAGTGGCCAATTCAAGAGCAAACATGAAGCGTGTGGATTATAGCTGAATACATAAACTCTTATTCACCAATTTGGTTCCAGCGAAAACCTTCAAAGTCTTAAGGAACTATGAATATACCAAAAAGGTAAACAAGATATGATTGAAAATGTGAGTACAAGGAAAATATTCATCCATCAAATGTATGTAGTAAATGAACTCAAACTATTAGCTATTACTTTATTCATTTTGTTGATGTAATTATTAACCGTTATGTGAAAACATAGTCTCCAACAAGTCTTACTAAAGTAATTTGGACCTAAAAAGCGTACGGTTCATCCTGTACCTATAGACACTGATTAATTATAGATTGGATGGCTTGAGTCTCATTTCACAATGTCATCCGCATCCGCGAAACGTTTTTATCCAGACAACAGATCCACACTATTATCACGAACTTCAATCACAGCGTTTTCTAGAAGGATTGCTGATATCTAGTGGCAATACACTGTTACTAATACGAGGATTCAATAACGTACAGTGATGATAATTCAACTGATGCCATCATCTTGAAACACCGAGTTCGGTGGCTTGCATATATACTACGAATATTATTACAGCGAATTCCACTTTGTGTATTATTTGCTGAGGCTGGGGACTAGTTAAAAAAGAGCAGTAGCCGGTTTACCATACAGTGCTGGGTTATGAGATAAAGTTATGCATGACTGAAATCTTTCAGTCCTTCACAATTCTCTAGTTGACGTCCTAGAGATAGTGCAACTCACTGTCTTGAGACATTACTAAAATTCGCTCAGAATAGAAGGTAGTAATGATTCTTCAAAGATTTTCTTTTCCTTTCTTTATATAAGTGAGAGGAACTTATTTAAATGAAAAAAACCATTCTGGTTGTATTTTTCTGAACTAAACAAATTCTTCCATCATTTTTCTATACATTCATTCACTTATTTTCTTTTTTTTTGATTGAGATCATGAATCGATGGATGTTAGACCACCATTGAAAACTTGGAAGCACTGAACGACCGTTCCGTTCTAGCGTGAGACGACTCAGCAGTGGGCATCCAGGATCCCATACATGGTTTTCGAACCCAAGACCTTTGATCTCGCATGCGAACGCTTAACATCGAGACCATTGAGTTGGCTGGCATCCACCAGTGTTAGTGTCTAACATCAACTAATCCACGAAATTGTGCGGTAGTCCTATTTCCACCTAATATGGATAGTTTTTGATTATACCTATCTTTCTTACCCTATCCTTTCAAAGTCCCAATTTCTTATCGTATGATGCATATTCATTATGATGACCACATTTACCATTATATACTTTCATCGTTGAAATCATGAGTCGATCTCAGTTAGAACACCATTCTTCAGCAATGAGCACTCATGATCTTTCACTTGAGATTTGTTTATATAAATAAATAGATAAAACCATGAATACATTGAACAATGGTTAATTCCTTGAACACTTTTTGTAAGGGGAACTATTAAGTAATATTTTCAACTTACACTTACTTTGTAAGCAATGATGGACAGTGGCTAGCAGTGGAATCCAGGACGCGCGTTTCGTCCTATTTGGGACTCGTCAACCGGATGTACCTGCATGAGTTGATGTTCACTCTGAGACTCGAGTTCAGTACCACTCGCCTCAAACGCTATCACGTTATCCTGATAGTAGGATGAAACGCGCGTCCTGGATTCCACTGCTAGCCACTATCCATCATTGCTTACAAATAGCTTGTGAATTAAGGTAATATCGAGTCATACACACAGTATACACATATGCCAATAACAAACTGATCAATTGCAGTGTTAAACCTCAA